CGCGTTTATTTATAAATGTGTCGTAACCCTCCACCACCCGACACGGCCAATCAGTAAAAATGTGTCACGTTGACAAAGACAAATAGTTCACTGCTTTAGCCCACCGGTGTGTTGAAGCCACAACATTTACAATTTGAGTACGACGTTTCGCTGGTAATTGCATCCAGCATCATCGGGCAATTCGCCAGAATGGTGAGGCTCTGCTGTCTCCCGTTCTTATATAGAGCAGCAGCAGGGTGACGTCATCATTAACTCATCAACTCATCAGGTGCAAAGACTCAAGGGGGGAGTGATTGTAATTATATACTAGATTAGTAATCAGGCTATTGTTACGATGCGAGTTGTAGATTAGTAATCATTTGGAATGTGTTTTATTGTGATTATGCTACATTAGTAATCAGTTAGTGGTTGTTTCCCTTATAAGTAATTGTAATGTATCTTATTTAATAATACGCTTCCAGGCCGCACTAAGCCTGTAGCTGTCTGAGCGATTAAAGTTATTTCTGTTTCTCTCAATTTCAATCGATTCTCTAACTAGTCTTTGCCAGTAGTAACTAGTTTTACACAACACTTCCACGTTGTCAAAATCAATTGAGTGTCCCTGTTGGCATGCATGTTCTGCTACTGCCGACAGTTGTGTTTGTGATAGTTTAATATTTCTCTGGTGTTCTTTTAGTCTTACACTAACGTTACGCCCTGTCTGTCCAATATAGCATCTGCCACATACACAATTAATCCGATATACACCTTCTGTTGATAATTTAGGTAATTCGTCTTTAGTGCACGTTACTAGTTGTTGAATGTTGTGTACTGTACCAAATCTTACTGTAATGTTATGCTTTTGCAAAACACGGGCTAATTTATCAGTTACTCCTGAGATAAATGGTATTTTTATTGTTTTAATAATCTGATCGCTTTCAGCAGTGTTGCTTTGCGATCGTGATTTGGCTTTTAATGCTCTGTTAATTTGAGCATTATTGTAGCCATTCTGTCTTAGTGCTTCTTTAACATGTTTAATCTCTCTCACTAGACTTTCACCATCTGACACTGTTTTAGCCCGATGTATGAGCGTCTTGATAAGAGAGGATTTCTGAGCTGGGTGATGATGCGAATCTGCATTCAGATAGGCATCAGTGTGCGTTGGCTTTCTGTAAACGCTGTGTGTTATTTTACCGTTTGGGCCATGCCCAAGTAAAATATCCAGGAACGGGAGTGTGTTATTCACCTCCATTTCCATGGTGAACTGAATGGCCGGGTTTTGTGCATTGAGATGATTTAGAAAATCGTTAAGTGTATCTTTACCATGTGGCCAGACAACCAAAGTGTCATCCACATATCTAAACCAAAAGGATGGTTTTAATGTGCTCGAGGCAAGTGCTCTGGTTTCAAAGTTTTCCATGTACAAATTTGCTATAGCAGGAGATAAAGGAGAGCCCATTGCTGCTCCCTCCCTTTGTTTAAAGAATTCGCCTCTCCATAAGAAGTAAGTGTTATTTAAACAATGGTCTGCGAGTTTCGGAATATCTTTTGGTAAACCTGTATTCTTTACCAGTGTATCAAGTAATTTAAGCGACTCGCTCACTGGAACCTTAGTGAATAGCGAAATCACATCAAAACTCACCAAAATATCATTAGGGTTAAGTTTAATATCTTTGATCATATTCACAAGATGTTCTGAATTTCTTATGAATGATGATGTCCTACCGATGTAAGGCTGAATTTGTTTAGTTACATATTTTGCTAATTTATAGGTGGCAGAGCCAATTGTACTGACTATAGGTCGTAAAGGGATGCCGACTTTATGGATCTTTGGTAGCCCATACAGTCTAGGTGGTTTTGAAGCCCTTGGCTTCATTAGGAATTGCTCATTTTTTGGGATTAATGAATTTGCAATGATTGCAGTAGTCTTACGTTCCAAAGTATTAGTTGGATCTCGTTTAATTTTAATGTAGGTACTTTCCTCTAATAAATCTTTAATTTTATTATCATAATCGGCTCGTGACATCACTACTGTAGTGCGGCCCTTGTCAGCTGCTAGGATTTGAATATCTTTGTTTAGACGAAGCTCTCTTAAGGCTTTTGCCTCGTTCGAGCTAATATTTACTTTAGGTACTTTACTATTCTCAATAATTTTGGCAACCTCGTGTCTAGTCATCTCTGCCTCATTATGTGGAAGGAGTCTTACTGCTGATTCTACCTCAGCAATTATCTCATCCACTGGAATTGTGCGTGGGGTAACGGCAAAGTTAAGGCCTTTAGAAAGGACAGAAATCATGTCAGTGGTTAAATCAGTGTTAGTCAAGTTCATTACGGTTTTGTTTTTAAATTGTTCGTTTTTAATAGGGATTTGTTTATTGTAAAGTCTAGAAAATTTGTTAATTTGGTTAGCATTTGTTAGATTAAACACATTATCAGCCGATTGTTGTGTTATAGTATCGATTATATTCCAATCATGCATGGACACACTATTGCTTATATTTAAATGTAAATGCTGTGTATGTGGCAGATGCTATATTGGACAGACATGGCGTAACGTTAGTGTAAGACTAAAAGAACACCAGAGAAATATTAAACTATCACAAACACAACTGTCGGCAGTAGCAGAACATGCATGCCAACAGGGACACTCAATTGATTTTGACAACGTGGAAGTGTTGTGTAAAACTAGTTACTACTGGCAAAGACTAGTTAGAGAATCGATTGAAATTGAGAGAAACAGAAATAACTTTAATCGCTCAGACAGCTACAGGCTTAGTGCGGCCTGGAAGCGTATTATTAAATAAGATACATTACAATTACTTATAAGGGAAACAACCACTAACTGATTACTAATGTAGCATAATCACAATAAAACACATTCCAAATGATTACTAATCTACAACTCGCATCGTAACAATAGCCTGATTACTAATCTAGTATATAATTACAATCACTCCCCCCTTGAGTCTTTGCACCTGATGAGTTGATGAGTTAATGATGACGTCACCCTGCTGCTGCTCTATATAAGAACGGGAGACAGCAGAGCCTCACCATTCTGGCGAATTGCCCGATGATGCTGGATGCAATTACCAGCGAAACGTCGTACTCAAATTGTAAATGTTGTGGCTTCAACACACCGGTGGGCTAAAGCAGTGAACTATTTGTCTTTGTCAACGTGACACATTTTTACTGATTGGCCGTGTCGGGTGGTGGAGGGTTACGACACATTTATAAATAAACGCGATCTAAACCCAAAAACGTTGATTATGAGTTTATATGTATGTTGAACTTCTTTATATATTGAGGCCACCTATTTTCAGTGTAATGTGTTTCTGAAATTCTAGTGTGGACCATTTCAACTCCATTTTTAAATACAGTTCTTGCTCTACAATCAAGATGGCTAAATTTTTATTAATGTTACATTGAGACATATCGCTTCAGCATGTATATCAAAGCAGTTATTTCAGGGATGTTGTTGGGTACATTCTTATTGAATTTTGTCCAGCTTGTTTTCTCCTCAATGACATGATGGGTCAGGATGAAAGCCAAGACATGCAGTCAGGCATTGCATCATCTTGAGGTTGGGCATACCACACAGGCATAACAGACTGATAAGATACTGCTTTAACTTTTTCTCCACCAATCCTAGCTGGAAAACATTCATTTAAAATTGGTGGGACATCCAAGGAAATTATTTTGGGAGCTTCACAGAGCTCAAAATGTTATCTGTTCATAAACCCCCATTTTGAAAAGTTACCATTTGTATTTTTTGGACATTTCTAAACTTTCAAAGCATGCACCATTACAATGTTTTACATGGATAACACCGCAAAATGTTTTGAAATTTTAACTTTAGTTGCTCTGGAGCTGATTCATCACAATGTATTTATTTAACAACTATCTTGGCCGCCATCTTGAATTGCGTGCTTCAGGCCAAAAATATGGTTTGGCTACAGCAGTTTTCATAATCGGTGGGATCAGTTTACCCTAATAACATTTTGCAAGCCTGTTACATGATCTGCCTCTTGCATCAATATTTAGGCCCTTTCTTAAATGTGCTACCTCCACTACTAAGACTTTAAACAGAAGCAGGACCATTGTCATTGGGATAAACCTTGAATAAAACAAATACACACTGTTTTATAGACTTTAAATATTTAACCCACATAATGGCATTAAGCAAAAGAACCATGTAAACGGGCACTTATAGTGCTGCCAGGTGAACTCCAAAACAGGGTTCGGTGTGCATGTTCGCAATAGCAGCATCATGAAACCTAGAGTCCTCATTAAGCACCACTTCCAACAGCAGCAGCAACGGTATTAGTACCTGCAACAATGCAGTCACAACATTCTGCCTTTCTGTCGAATCTCTGGCTTTTACAGTCCGTTTTTATACGGCCAGCAAAGCCAATTACATATGCACAACCTGCATAACACGTGCCCTCTCCCACCAATCAAGTGAGGTATTGCTGTTATGTAACTATCTCCTATCCCGATTTATGCCACTGTTCCAAGTGGTCAATCCTACGCAAGGCCATGAGTTTACAAGAGCGGACAATGCCCCCTGCATTCATAGCAATAGAACGTTACACTGTTCTGCTGTCATGTGACAAGTGACCCCCCCCCCTCTTGCGGACAATACAAACTTAACCACATAACAGCACTCTTATTCCATACCAGTTGTGAGGTTGTAAAATTGAATGGACACTTAATTTGTGTAATTCATTATTGTTTTTTTGTTGAGGTCTAGCTCTGGCTACTCTCGGATTTGGGCAGGGGATGTAGCAAAGCCGTTGTGGGGCTGGTAACAATAACAGCGATACACCACTAAGGAGCGTGAACATCGGTGGGAGGCAAAAGGGAAATTTGGGGTCGAGGGCTCACCCTTGTACTAGCCCTAACGTGACCTATCCCAAAAAATAGTACGAATCATAACATCGGCTGCGAGAACCTACGTGCAAAATACTTGAATTTGTGTGTCATGATGAAACGTATCTGTCGATCTGGTTGTTTGTGTGTAGGTGAGAACGGACGAACGACATCCATCGAATGAGCAGGGAGAGCTGGTGTACACAGCTCAGAAATATGCATCTGCAAGCTATATGCACATTGATGTGACACGAATCATGCGATTGGGCGAAACCCTGAACGTGTTTCTGACTGCCAAAACCACACAGCTCAATGCTGTAACACACTTTACATACATGGTACGTATAGTATTGGTGTGGCATTTTATTCAGATTTCTGACTTCCAGTAAGAAAACAATTAATAATCTACTAAATTTGGCAATTGCACAATTTTATCCATTCAAAAACATACAATATTGGCCAAATACCCCAATACAGAAAAAATACTTACAAATGACTCAATTAGGATTACACACAGCAGCAGCATTCCCCTCTCTTGTTAAAACCTGGCAAAACCCTTCTAAAATAACTCTTGGTAAGAAACGCAATAGATGAAATCACAAAGGAAGGCAATGCTATGTTTCACAGTCTGCATGTGTTTCACAGAAAGGAGCGATGTTGCTATGTGTAATCCAAATTAGGTATTTGCGAGTAATTTCTTGAATGTGGCACCGGCATGGAAAGGCCAACTTGTTCCAAATGAAGTCATGGGCTCTTTAACGTCCACTGTGTAGCAAATGGCGCGTAGTATTTTGATGCTTAATACACTGCTTTTAAAAACCAGAAAGCAGTGAATGTGTAATGTATGAACTTGGCGGGAGACGACTTCACGGGTTGCACACCTTTTATTAACACCAACTTATCGTTAGACGGGTGGCTAAGTACAGCCTAACCCACGGGGTTCCCCTGGCTACACCCTCACGGGCTCTTACGCCCCGTAGCTCTCGGAACCCACCCGGCTGGGGTGTCCGTCTCGACTCTGGGTCCCACAGCCTCGTCCCACATGGACGTCAGACCACGGGTCCCACAGCCTCGCCTCCGAGCCACACAGCGTCCCGGCCCTTACAAGGACCGCGGGACCAGGGGTCTCAGGGCCCTATCTCTTCAGCTCCGTCTTCGATCTTCAACTGGTTATCAACTCCCCGAGTGCTCCCGCGCGTCCTCCTTTATAGTCCTCCATGCGGACGTCGCTGAGAGCACCCACCCCAGTTGACCAATCACTGCGTGCTGCCTACGATCCTATTTCCCACATTGTGTCAGCGCGCACAACCACGCACCCCGCGCCGCCCCGTGATCCATCACTGTCGGCGCGTGTTAACACCACCACTCTTGATGTAGCCACGCCCGGCGCGCTCACACACACGCCGCCCCTTTGTCAGCGCGTACCGCCACTACAAATGCAATGCCGCTGGGCCATTTCACTGTCTCAAAATGTGAAACATTCTAAATCAAATAGTGATATTTATGACATTAGTGGTTTGCAGTTAGCATCCGGCAGCTACCCTGGTTATTACTGCAGGTGTATTCACTTTAAATTCACACTGCCTGTTTCAAAGCGGTTGTTAAAGACATCCTGCTGTCATTAGACATGAGTACGCCATTGTGTGCTGGCGTCATGGTCCAAATAAAAAAAAAGACTAAATTACTCAATTGGCATTACACACAGCCATATCGCTCCATATCGTAGACTATATCCATCAATGTAACACAGTGTCTTCCTTAGTGACCACCCTGTGCCATAAGAATGACAAACGTACCTAAGATATCATTATACCCTGCCATGTGGCAAGAGGAATGCAAGTTAGCAAATTGTAACACATGGTCCATCACCAGTTACACTGTTCTAATGTCCTTAAGGAAACATGAATCCTTCTCAGCATGTATCTTCAGCTCCTGGTGTATGCCAGCAAGATGCTCTGTATGATGCTCGTGTCAGAAGGTGCCGTTATGGCCCAACTGCATAAGCTGCCACCCGCCACGGGGATGAGATGATGCAATTACATTCCCAAGGCAACAGTTTAACTTCACAGTTATGGATAAAATGTAGCATAGACACATTTTTGAGAGATGTTTTTGATAGCCACCCTCTTTTACTACCAGGCATATCAGATCGTTTCATACACGATTAGCGACTTGCATCACATCTCATTTCGACACATTTGAAAGAGCACCTCTATCAGTCTATTTGTGGCACACTGACTCAGCACCTAGCCTGCAAGCGGGTATTAGACTGGCAGTAGGGTTGATTATTGCTGTTGTGTGTAATCCCATTTGAGTAATTTCGAAGAACAGATATTTTCGCTTGTCCCTTTAATGCAGCGTGCAATCAATTGCAGGTGCTGACACGAGGCGTGATTGTGAAAACTAACCGCAAGACCAAAGAGTCTGGAGGAGGGCCCTCCAACGTGAGAATACCCATCACACCCGACATGGCTCCTCGCTTCCGTTTCTTGGCCTACTATATCCTGCCAGGCGGCGAAATTGTAGCGGACTCTGTAACAGTGGAAGTCACCGAATTGTGCAAAAGCCAGGTATGTGTATAAAGGAAGCGTGTGCATCACTCGGAAGCAGCATGATATTATCATGTGGGTATATGCACATGCTGTGTTTTCATGTGAAGGGAGTGTAATTTGCACAGGATGCAGTTCCAAGTGGCTTTGCTGTGCACATGACGATTTTGTGATTATTCTTGTGTATGATAGTGAACTACAAACAGATTTTTGAAACATACATCTGTTTAAGGCCAATTTCCAAGAAAAATTTTTTACTGAAATTATTGAGGAAAAAAACTTGTTAAACAGAAGGAAATCATGATAATTGGTTCTTTACCCTTCTATCTGGCAACAAAACTGACACCTTTTACAAGGAGTCATGTTAGCATAGACCACAATACCTGCAGTCATAATACAAACAAAAGAACATAACTCTGATAATGTGCACTGTCCTTGAAGTTGATTGGTCCACACCCGAGACAGCTTTCCTTAGTCTCATATGGGTTGGACCAGATGACGCCAAAAGGCGCACTATCAGAGTTATGTTCTTTTGTTTGTATTATGACTGCAGGTATTGTGGTCTATGCAAACATGACTCCTTGTAAAAAGGTGTCAGTTTTGTTGCCAGATAGAAGGGTAAAGAACCAATTATCATATTTTTACTGGCAAATGAGGTTCCCATAGAGAAGGAAATCATGTTTAGTATTGATGGGGTTGGTTAAACGATAACCCCTACACTGGAATAACAATTTTAGTAATGAGAGTCACAAACTGGTAATCGTTTGCAGTGAAACTTAAGTATTAAGAGGTGGTGTACTTACTCTATATTCCACCACGTGTTACCTGCCAGTCAGAGCATAACTGTGGTGTACCCATTTAAACGTTTGGGTGGATAGAGGCAGTTACCGGTAATGCAATAAAATCTGATTAATTTTTTTTAGAGATACCCTTCAAAGATTGATTAAACATTCTTCTCTGTCATGTCTCCCGATTATTGTCGTGGGGCATCTATCAACATATCCCCTGCAATATTACGTTGTGAGATTACTCTCCAGCACACCCATGTGCTGAAGCAGGAATTAATCGGCACGTTTTTTTCATGTGACAATTGTATTCATTGGCTATCGTGTGAAGGAGGGTTTACGACACTAATTTTAATCATACAACCTGACCCAAAAGTAACCAATTATAAAGCATATGCCTGAAATTTTCTATTTGAGTACTTAAACTGTTTATAAAACGCAGCACCTCGTTGTAGTTGCAGTACACTTCTCACGTGTATACAGCCGTGTGTATAATTATTACATCTACATCTTTTGGATGGTGAATATACATTTCATTATATCAATAGGCATTAATCTGCATATGTTCTTTAATCCGTGTCTTTCTCTTTCTTTGCCTCAATGTGATGCCGAATGTGCATCTCTTCGTGCCTCTGCACACTTTTCAGTTTTGTTCCATGTTGTCGTTCTTGACAGCGTGTTTCCGAACCCCACATGTCATGCCTGAATATCTCTATATGAAGTAAATATTCATGTCCTTCTCGACATCATCTTCAACCGTGGTTATATTTAGATGCTGGATAAATAAGCATCATAACAACGATAATAATGATGAAATAAATATAACTCTTGTCCGTGTGACCTTCCCTCCTGATACGAGAGCGTACTCCGTGCATTTGGAGGGTGGGTAGGAATTGGAGGTGTAACGCGGGTGATGTCATCACCCAAATGTGCACTGTGACATCACTGCAGTGCACCTGTAAGCCAGCCTGCCAGTAATGCAGAAAAAAGCCAGCACAATCATTTTACTATATCATACTAGGTGTTTTTTGGGGCACCTACGGCGCCCCTCACAAGCATTTACGGCCTTCGGCCAGGAAAGTCACGAAAAAAATTGCACACGAACGATGCATTCACGCAAGCAGCCGATGCTCTATTTTGTATTTTTAAAATGAAACATCTTTGAATCGTATTATGTTTTGAATTAGATAATTTTATCTCTTCATTAAAAGCTTGTATCATGTTACATCTGGAAGACTTCATTGATAACGACATTTTGTGTGAATTTTCTCTCGTCGTTAAGTAGATGGCCTTGCTGGGGGGGTTCGGTTCGATGCGGACTTTCACCTATTTGGGATTGTGGGATCGAGATAAGGCGACATAGAGCTGGCTGTAGGAGAAGACTGCCGTCTGCAGATCGTTTCCAACGTAATCGAACGTCTGTCCCTGCGCCTCCGTCGTTAATGCAGGGGGCGCGAAGGTTTGCAGTGCATGATAACGACAGAAAGTGCAGAGTTCATCACAGATATATAAAGTTGTGCGCTTATAAAAAGAGTATGATTGCACATAATAATACAATTATTAAACGGCAATACATATCGCAACAGAGTGTAATGCTATAGTTCACGTCCTGGTGCTGTGGATTGTTGCGTTACAGGATCGTGAGAGCTCGTGGTGGTTTGGCGAGGCCTTTATCCAGCAGTGGATTGACCATGGCAGATGACTACAATGCTGCTGTTTCCATGAACTTGATGGCAGCTGTACCATACACTATTTTCCTGGTCGTATCATATTCGACAAATTTCATGTCATGAACATTTGTTCCTAACGAGTTTGATATTTTCCATCCTCAGGTGTCTCTTTCATTAAAAGGCCGCCCCACATTGGAACCAAAGGCCATGCTAACTTTGGATTTGATTGGGGAACCTGATGCCAGAGTAGGTCTGCTCGCTGTCGATCAAGCCGTCTACGCTGTCAACCGTAAACACCGACTTACACAAGACAGGGTGTGTATTCACATTTGCATGGCACTGCCATTCGTACATTTGGTGTTCGTTCCATTCTTACACCACGTGACTATGCTGAAGGGAGGGGGGCAGTGTTTACAGACGGATATAGTCTGTCAATAGTGGGAGATGTGGTTATATGTAATCCAAATTGAGTATTTTGTGGGTAATTCTACACATTTGTCCCATGAGACCAGCAAACAATGGCCTACTCATTTAGATTGAAGTGATGGGATGTTTAAAGCCTGCTGTGAAGCAGACAGCATGCATGTAATTAATAACGCACCCGCGGTGATATCCAGTATTTCTAACCATTGCTCTTGAGTATTTGGCAGACATAAGAGAAGATACAAATTTTGCAAGGCATGAAAGTGATCAAGTCCACGGAGAAAATAGTTTTCTTTAACCGCGATGGAAAACTGGATTATGCCGTTGAGCATATATTTAATGTCTGAATTGTTCCATGACAGAGTTATTTATGACTATGGAGGTGTGATAGTTGAACTGGAACTAGAAACCGGGTTTAACCATTCATTTTCTGGAACCATAACTCTAACCCATATACAATGTGTTGCTCCGGCATTAAAATGTTCTTTCAACCTGTAGCTGGGTTGTTGAAAGTAAAAATGGCCACGATCCCTCAGCCAATTCCCAGTTATAGCCTATTACGAGCTCTGTTTCCTCTGTCTCCATATGGCATCTTGTGCACATAGCTACAATACTCGACAGTCCGTTATTGTAGGGGGTGGAAACAAATGTTGTGTGTTGGGGTGGTGACATGGCTCAGCAGAAATTTGCAATTCGAACCCAGCTTGCTGCCTTGGTCAATACTGTGGTGTGTATTACCTATAAAAAAAATACTACGTGTTATCTGCTTTGCCAGGAATGTTAAGATCCCTTGACATCATTTGAAATTATTAAACAACTTTGCTCAAGCCACGTGTTCAAATTTGTCAAATTCAAAGAATAACACCTGAAATTGGGATTACACACAGCAACATCACCCCAGACCACGAAATGGCTTCAGATTATGTCTGTGAAACCGGTTTCATGATAGTTTCACGCTATAAGAATTGCACAAATACCATATGCACTAGTGACGATGATGACATTCTATTTGTTGATATAATTATCACAGCGATTGGGGTCAAGTGTAGGTGGCAGGGTGACACAGTGATAATGATCTTGATTGGAAGCTTTCGTGACTGCAGGAATCCATACTCTTTGGTTTTTTCGGTTAAGTCACGTAGGTATAAAAAAATACATCACGACGTTTCGGGCACAACACAAGCGTCCATCATCACGATGATGATGGACGCTTGTGATGATGGACGCTTGTGTTTCGCCCGAAACGTCGTGATTTATTTTATTTTATACCTACTTGACTTTCCCGAAAGAACCAAAGAGTACAGTGAGAATGCTTGCATAGCAAGAAATCCTGGGTTTAATTCCCGACTCAGTTGCTTATCTGTGTGGAGTTTGTATGTTATGTCCCTGTTCTGCATGGGTTTCCTCTGGATTGTTTGGATTATTCACTTAAGCAAAAACATACAATGTAACTGGTATTGGCCACAACATTTCAATGCAGAAAATATCTTCACAAATTGGTCAATTTGGATTAAACATAGCAACATTATTCCCATACTGCAAATACTTGGCAGGACATTCCTGAAACGAGTCTTGAGATTCAGTGAGGTCTTCCTGGGTAAAAAAGCATTATAATAAAAAATGTAATTGCGGTGGTGTGGATCTTGGGGGAGTGGTGGCGCAGTGGTTAGTGCACGGCATTATTAACTCGGCGACCTGAATTTGATTTCCACTAACGGTCAACACCAGTGATGATTATCTGAATCAGCCCTAGGTTTCCCCTCAGTTGACCCAGTTTCAAATGAGTACCTGGTGTGGTATGTGAAACATCGCCACTAAAGGGACGAAGGCAGCCGGGCATGGTGCTGGCAACGCACCACCCAATTGTGTACCATACCAGCCTTCATAGGCTCTAGCCAACAAAACTTGCCTCAACAGTTTGTTAAACACTATGTTGGGGATTTTTGTTTCTGATGTGGATGTGAAGGTGTGGAAGGCAATGGAGACCTTCGATACAGGCTGCACAGCAGAGGGTGGCGCGGGAGCACAGGGCGTCTTCTCGGACGCAGGCTTGGCTCTGATCACCAGCAAGGGCCTTAACACTACTGATCGATCCGGTGGGTCTTCGTAAAACTAAACATTATCACAACGAGTTTACTTCTTTTATTTTAGCATTTGGTGCACAGGAAAACCTCACCGAACGCAGAGGCCACGTTTCTGGAAAATGCCGTTTTGGGCAAAGGTGGGTTCGACAAAAAATAGACCTCGTGGAAAAAATAGGCTTGCATTCATGGGTCCGCAATTATCACCTCCTCTCTCTTTGTTTAACTAATTCTAAGTTATTTTATTCCCTTGGTATCACGTAAAATTTGTAAAACACACACACACCACACGTAAATAAAATAAAATATATGAGGACATAGAATTAAATACAAGTGAAGCTGATTTTATTTACTGATGATAAATGACGATGGTGAACATGTTGGCGGGGGTCTGTTGAAGGGGGTTCACAGTGTTGAGAGACCCTCTCTCCAAGGTCATCATCAGGGTCAGTTGAGACCCCTGGGAGCATTCAGGAGAGTGTTTTGATGGAGGATCAGAGGAAGAATTGGCTCGAGAGCTGATAGGCATTACTGTAGGTGAGGTTGAGCATTGCGACGATGGTGTTGGTGGTGGGGCTGACTGAGGTCGCGTGCTTCTTATGGTGGGGTCTGCCTTTGAAAAATACGTGGCGATGGACGTTTGTTTAGCTATCAATTGGAAACTTCTATAAATTGCTCTCTAGAGGTGTAATACAACTTTCACATCTCTCTTAAATTGTATGCCTATCTTCATGAAAGGTTATTTACTGTATCTATTGCTTATTCAAATCACAAAAAGCACTCGGATAATGCCTTTATTATCATCTGACACCGAAGAAGTGGCTTTTCATCCTCTTCACTCTCACCGGATGGTTATTCAGCTGATTATATCAGGTCTTCCAGATCTTTCTCCCTGAGCTCAATATTTCTAGCCAAAGTGATGATCTTTATAACTTCACCAGGGACGTTTGGGAAACCATGGAAGTGTTTGACGATCTCCAGCAGCAATTTCCCCCAGAGCGAGTAAAGATTCGAACCTTTGATAGCATCTATTGACTCATTGATGTGAGTGATGCATTTGATTGTGTTATAATCCTTCCAACAATCACCAACAGTGGCAGAAGGATCCCTTTCTAATGTATCAATTATGTCCTGGAATGTTCTGCGTGTGAAATATAACTTGAACGTGGCTACAACCCCTTGGTCAATTGTCTGCAAGAGAGTCGTTGTGTTGGGAGGCAAAATAGCCACATTCACATTTGGTTGAGCAAATTGTATGCACTGGGGACGTCCTGGTGCATAATTATCAATGACAAAAATAATATTGAAAGATAAATATTGATTTCTTCAGTACTTTTCAACCACGTGAACGAAGCAGCTGTTCAATCAGTCTACCGATTAGCTCTCCAAGTGACTGAAATATGCTGCTTATTTTTGCCCTTCAGTGCTTGGGGGTTCAAAGACCAATACACCATCATTGTACTCTTAGGTTTTTTCTGGTAAAGTCACGTAGGTAATAAATAAATAAAAATTAATAAAAGTAAAATTAAAAATCACGACGTTTCGGAGGCAACACAAGCTTCCGTCTTCAGGTGGAACCGTCACAGCACGCTTGCTGTATCAAGTAAAAGAGACATTCCAAGAGACCCGGCCTTGTATATATACTGGTTGAGGGGAGAGGAGCCAGGGTAGGCCCCTGGATAGGAGTTTTTTTTTATCATGATAAGGTTGGTGCGGCTGAGGCTGCTGCTAGTCTACATAACAAAGGACTGAGCCTTTGTTATGTAGATTGCTTGAGAGGGGGAGGTGCCAGAGTTGTTAAGGTGTGGCTGCTGCTAATGGGACTGAGCCTTTGTTATGTAGACTGGTTGAGAAGGGGAGGTGCCAGAGTTGTTAAGGTGCGGCTACTGCTACTGCTAATGGGACTGAGCCTTTGTTATGTAGATGGTAGAAGCAAAAAAGCAGGTCAGGAAGAAACAGCCTCTTGCTATGTTGCTGGGTGGGTAAAACTTAAAGCAGGAAACCAGCGTGTGAAAAAGAAGCTAAACATTATGAAACAAAACTGGCTGTCTATCAGTAAACTGTACGGTAACTAAAGAAAAGTTGCCTGTCAATAAGATGGTCCGAATATGTGTAGTTACATATTTTTTGCATGGTTAATAACATCGTTCCAATGATTACTCAGTTTGCACCCATCATCACGGTTGAAATTATGTCTGTGTTTGTATATCTGGATGGCTTCGTGCACAAACCTTTGATGGTAGCCAGGAGGTTTGCAGAGTACCTTGGTCTCGGAAAAGACAATCTCATGAGAGCCCACAGCCTTGTAGCAATGATCGGCAATGGCAGAAGAATTAGTTTTGCCGTGTTTCAGATCTGACTTGTGCTCACGGACACGATCAGAGATATGAAGTTTCGTTTCTCCAATGTAACAATCACCACAGCTGCAACTCACTTTGTAGACTCCAGGGTATTGTAAGTCAGGAATGACATATTTCACAGATGGAATTAGATCACGGATTTTATGTACTGTACTGAATCGGATTTGGATCTTATATTTGTTTAGAATTTTGGAGATCTTTTTGGTCACGCCTGCTATGTATGGCAACGTGATAGTTTTGATCAGAGTTTCAAGTGGCTGTTTCTGTATGGTGGGAGAAACAGCTTGGCGGATGGTGCGGTCAGAGTATCCGTTCATCCTGAGGGCCCGATGTACATGTCTTAATTCACTGGCCAGGTGGTGTTGGTCAGAAATGCCATGAGCTCTGTGGTATAGCGTTTTGATGAGATATTCTTTTGAGACGGGTGGTGGTGGGAATCCGGTTTCAAGTAGGAATCTGTGTGGGTGGCTTTCCTGTAGACAGAATGTCCCAAGGATCCGTCAGGTCTCCTCTCAAACAGAATATCTAAGAATGGCAGTTTGCCATCTTTCTCCACTTCCATGGTGAATCTGATGGATGGGTGTCTGGAATTGATGTGGTCCAAGAAGTGGTTCAATGCTGGGAGGCCATGTGGCCAAATGACGAAAGTGTCATCCACATACCTCTTCCACAGGGAAGGATGCAGGGTGGATGTCTGGATGGCGTCTGATTCAAACTTTTCCATGAACATGTTGGCTATCACTGGTGACAAGGGGGAGCCCATAGGGGTACCCTCATTCTGTTTGTAGAAGGTGCCATTCCAGGTAAAATAAGTGTTGGTGAGGCAATGCCTAACCAGCACAGATACATCCGAATTCAATCCATGTTGGATCAAGTCCTCAATTATTGTTAGGGTGTCAGGCACTGGGACTTTGGTAAACAGAGATACTACATCAAAACTGACGAGGATATCATCAGGAGATAGTACCATGTCCTTGACCATAGAGACTAATTGGGTGGAGTTGAGTACTGCCGAAGAGGTCTTGCCTGTGAAGGGAAGCAGAGTATCTGATAGAAAACGGGCTAGTTTGTAGGTAGGAGAGTTGATCGTCGACATGATGGGTCATAGCGGGGTGCCTTCTTTATGGATCTTGGGAAGACCATAAAGTCTGGGAGGTCTTGCCGCCGATGGTTTTAGAGAGGGACGTTTGGTTGTTTCGATTAGGGAAGTCGAACTGGTGATGATCTTGTTAGTTTTTGTCGTTAGGCTGTTAGTAGGATCGCTTTTAATTTTGGAGTAACTCCAATAAGTAGGTCCATTAGCAGTAGCCACACCTTAACAACTCTGGCACCTCCCCCTCTCAAACAGTCTACATAACAAAGGCTCAGTCCTTTGGTATGTAGACTATCAGCAGCTTCAGCCGCACCAACCTTATCATAATAAAAAAACTCCTATCCAGGGGCCTACCCTGGCTCCTCCCCCCTCAATCAGTATATATATACAAGGCCGGGTCTCTTGGAATTTCTCTTTTACTTGATACAGCAAGCGTGCTGTGACGGTTCCACCTGAAGACGGAAAAGCATGTGTTGCCTCCGAAACATCGTGATTTTTTATTTTACTTTTATTTAAAAAAAATTTTACCTACATGACTTTACCGAAAAAACCTAAGAGTATGAATCCTTGCAGTCACGAAAGCTTCAAATCTAGAATTAACACCATCATTGGTATCATCATGAAGTCCCCGATGCATTTGTACAAAAAATAAGAGTTGTTCGCTCTTTGGCAGTCTCAAATTCCGGAGCTGTTTTCTTGTTTTTAGATATGAACATTTTATTAGACATCCTCTTCCAATACAGCATTGAATGTTTGTTGAGGCTTGTCCTCCCCCTTGTCGATAATTGGTTTAACATCGTCTGGGATGTTCTTTGTGGGTTCGTAGTCAGCTAATACAGATTCCTCAAGCAACTTCACGTTACATAGGATGAATCTTTTTTTTCTCAAACCTTATTCTCTTTATTCTGAAACCTGTCTACTGGCCCCAAATTTAGAGTTACTGGTAGCACTTTAAACTTTAATTTATTTCAAAACATGGCCATGAAGGTGGCTAGCCTTCTACCTTACCACTGCACCACAAATTGAAGGTCCTTTCCATTTTCTCTATTAATGAATCACGTCGAACAACAAAAATACTTCATTGTTTTTTTACCCTTTTATCTGGCAACAAAACTGACACCTTTTTTAACAAGGAGTCATGTTTACATTGACCACAATACCTGCGGTCGGAATGCAAACAAAAAACACAACTCTGATAATGTATGCACTGTCCTTGAAATTGATTGGTCCACACCCGAGACAGCTTTTATTAGAGCCTAGTCTCACATAGTGTTGGACTAGATGACGCCAAAAGGCGCAAAACTCAAAGACAATACACCATCAGAGTATGAGAACTCGGATAAGCATTTACACCATTGGAACCTCCTTTGCCAGTAGCAAAATATGATAATTGTTCTTCTTGGTTCTTTCGGTAAAGTCACGTAGAAGGGAAGTAATAAAATAATAAAAATAAAACATAATAAAATCAAATAATTCTCACGACGTTTCGGCTACAACGCAAGCAGCCGTCTTCAGATGATAATTGTTTTTTACCCTTTTATCTGTCAACAAAACTGACACCTTTTTATTACAGTGGGTCAGGAAATTATTGATTGGTAATGCCAATGGCTGAGCCATCTGCTCACCACTGTGCTGGCGACCTGTGCTGCGATGCTGAATTGATTGGCCCGTTGTGCATGCTGATGGTTTAATCCTACCCTTTAAAAGTGGAGTCGTCCCATGTGAATGTGTGGACATGCCATGAAGAATAACGGGAGTTGAGTAAGCTCATTGGGGTGGAAGATGGCAGCCTTCACTCGGCCCACTCTGTTAAGTGAGAAATCATGACTCATTCCATCAACCCAGTGGCCAAACATTGATCAACGATCTCCCAGTTTCCAGAGCAACAACAACTCAAGACACCAGAACGGCCCTCTTTTCCAGGGTCAAAGACACTTTCAGATAGGTCCTCCAATTCAACATTCAGGATCTATACATTGGTGACTTTAACAGCCATCACACTCTGTGGAGCTATAGAGCAAATTAACCTGATAGAGAAGACCCCAAAAGACTGGACTACTGCGGTAGATCTGCAACAGGCCTTCGATACCAAACAGTGAGCAACTGTCTAACTGCGCTCACTAGAAATACGACTATAACCCGGACATTACCATTGTTTCCAAAGATCAAAATGAAATCGTGCTGTATGCATCCTGCAAAATACTCCTAAAATTCCTTAACAGCTAACATAAGCCCACGATTTGTGTGACAGTCAACACACTGCCACAAGGCTCAGTATTCACGCCAGTGCTCTGCAATGTCTGCACGAGTGACAAAGTAGTGCAAATTTGCATGTATGGATGACCTTACCCTGGCAGCACAAGCAGCCACCTTCCATTACATCGAGTCCATGCAGGGTTATTTTCAGAAACTGGTCCAGAAACTGGCAAGTACAAGCTGAGGAGCATCTGCATTTGTGTTACAGACAATAGCAAAGGCCGTTGTGTATTGCATAGATCAGCGGTCGGGAACCTATGGCTCGCGAGCCATATATGGCTCTTCCGGTGATGGCATATGGCTCCCAGACAATTTTGAGTTGAAAAAAATAAAAAAATTAAAATTAAAATTTTTAAATAAAATCAGTTTGGAACTGATTTTAAAATACTTGTGATATTGCTTAATAATACTGTGTCATTTTAAAGTAAACAGAAATTAGTTTTGAAGATAAATTTCACGGGTCACGGGTCCCGTGACCAGAAGTCGCATTAAAAGTAAGACGTATTTAGTTTATTATACGTTAAAAATACTATATGGCTCTCAATGAAAGATATTTAGAAATATTTGGCTTTTATGGCTCTCCCAGTCAAAAAGGTTCCCGACCCCTGGCATAGATGAAACTTGTACAGCACCGATTAGGATGAGAAGTAACCACACTCTTTGCAGTTCCCAAGGTTTGAAATGTAGCTTCATAATGTGAACATTAACAATGTTTTCAGGAAAAAAACATTTAGGTTGTAATTAACAAATGTGGAATGTCACGATATTACACGATGACTGTGTTTTACTGTATAATTACATTCCCATTGAAATGCTTCTTTGCAGAAATCGGGTGTCCAAAAGTGCCCTCACGAAAACCAAGACAGCTCTCAATGTTGCAGATCAGGAGGGAAGGTATGAGATGAATTGTTTCACCAGGACAACCATTTTAATGACTTCGCAGCAAGGGGGGGGGGGGGGGTGGGGAGAATACCATATTTAAAATTAGGTGTCGTGGCTGGTACTCCTGGGTAATAAAACATAATAGTCATATATAATAATGCAGTGTAATGTGGCATTTTCAATATACGATTCTGTATATATGTGGATAATCGTGAGTAATGTATATGAATGTGAGTAATGTTATTGTTTGATCCCAAACACTTTATGACCATGCCCACGTCCAGACATTATACTGCCAAGCAGTGCAAGTCAGCATGCCAAACAAATTTCAGGATTCTTACAAAATACTTTTCAAATGTTCACGAGTAATATATCAATGTGTGATAATATTTAAACACGCCTGGTTAGTGTGGAAGAGTAGGCCAATATATCCGCTTGAGAGTCTCTCTAGAGCTCTGTCAAGTTGAGGCCTTTCCAACAGCGAATATCAGTATGCAGTTCCAGGGCTGTGCTTGTAATTGTAACTTTACATTTTTCTAGCGGAAAAATACACTCAAGAATTTCGCAAATGCTGCGTGGATGGTTTGAAGATGAGCCCCACTGGCCAGGGATGTGAAGAACGTCTGAAGCGTGTCACAGGCCCAAAGGAATGTGTTGATGCCTTTCTTCAGTGTTGCAAGAAAGCAGAAGAGTACAGGAAATCCGAAAGCCTTGGTGCCAAGACCGTTTTGAGGCGGAGTAAGATTCACGCATGCCAAAACACGCCGGCTTCCATTGCACATTTAGTGACAGTTTCAAGAACACTAGTGTACTCTATGAGCACTTAAAACAAAGTTTGTTGAGCCCAGGTCCAAATGGCAAAAACCTTAAACAGCTAGCCCCTAAAATTCACTACCAAAGTTGTAATAGAAAATAGTTCACAAACATGTTTCTTTTTCGCATTGGGCAAGATTATAACTAATTAAAAAAAAAAAAGATTTGAAGGAATTCCAAAATGGAGAAGTGCGAGAAAAGAAGCATAAAGATAAGTGTTGTGACCTGAAGTGTGGTGAGTGAGTGGCCGGATGACCGTGTTGTTGTGATCTGCAGTGTAGTGGTTGAACACAGTGTGGATGATTGAAAACGGTCAGTCTGGTAGACCGAGTCCTCAACATAGGTGGAGGAATAAATGAGTGAAGTTAATGGGAACATCCACCATGGTAGCAGTGATCGAAGAGTGATAAGGAGGCGACTGACCACCGGTGAGCGAGTGGTTGGAGTGAGTCGGTGGGTGCACAGTGGGTGTTGCATCATTAGTCACCCTGACTGCTTTGCCATGAATTCCATCAAGTCAAGTGCAGTGAGGTAGAAACTTGTTCTCTCATATTTTTTCAAATATAATCTTGAAGTTTATTATTTTTAAATCCTTTATATTAAGTTTGCTTGCCAATTAATGTTCGTGAAATTTTTTTAATTTTTTTTTACACTTTTTAGGACAAAAATATTATATTTAATTACCAATTGCTTAATGGTGCAATGCAATCATCTGACCCATAGGTGGCAGCCATCTCAAGCCAGAGGACGAGAGGACTCTAGCCGCCACGCATATAAAGGATTTAGAGTGAAAAACTTTGTTTTTACGGGTTATACTTGTTAACAGTCAACTCTCAATGATCTGCATTGTGGTGTAACGCATGTAAACCGAGAACACAGATAAAGCAAAACGAATTATCTGGAGATTCTGTTGTGTTGGCAGTGGTTCTGCAGAATCAGTGTCATTGTTTTAAGTTTATATATTTTCCCCCTGTTCTGCAAACTGAAAGTGTGTGAATGGAGTTTGTATGTTCTCCCGCTTGTTGTGCAGAGTAAAAATGTGTGGAGTTTGATGTTTTCACCCTATTCAGCAGAGTGAAAGTGAGTGCGTTGGAGTTTGTATGTTCTCCCCCTGGTCTACAGAGTGAAATTAAGTGCGTGTAATTTTATGTTCTCCCCGTGCTCTGCAGAGTGAAAGTGAGTGCGTGGAGTTTTTTATGTTCTCACCGTGTTGTGCAGAGTGAAAGTGGAGTTTGTGTGTTTTCACCCTGGTCTGCATGGGTTTCTCCCAGTTCTCCGATTTCCTCCCATAACTAAAAACACATACATTGTAACTGCTATTGGCCAAAACATCCGAATGCTGAAAGGTTACCCGCAAATTACTCATTTTGTTTACACAAAGCAGCAACATTGCCCCCAACTACGAAAACTTGGCAGGACCCTCCTTGAGACTCACTGAGGTGTTGCTACGTGCCATGGTGGCAAGATGTTAAATACCTCGACTGATATATAGGAGGTAGTGGGTTCGATTCAGACCCTGATGCCTGTATATTTGGATTCATACTCTTTGGTTTTTTCGGTAAAGTCACGTAGGTAAAGTAAATAAATAAATATATAAAAACACACGACGTTTCGGGCGCAACACAAGCGTCCTTCTTCAGGTGGGGACAACTTAGCGAAAGCACACCGCTTCAGTGTGTTTCAGAGGTGGCTGTGACGAGTAATTATATAGTCGCAGGGTGATGGGGGGAGGGGGAGCATGGTGAATATGGGGGCGGGGTATGGGCTGGAGGTACCGTTGTGTACCCCGAGCAACGATTGGAGTTCAAACTGAGGATTTGTATTGTAGATGGTGGAAGTAGATAAGCCGCCTTTTGTTATGCTGCCGGGTAAATTAGTAACGCATAGAGTTCAAACTGAAATATGCAGGCTAAAAACAACGTGTGGTAATGTGGGGTAACAGACTGGGAGTATGGATATGTTTATAAAATTTAATCTAAACTAGCTGTCTAGCGGTAAACTGCACGGCAGCTTAAGTTTAACTTGGTTAATTCTTCTTCTTGGTTCTTTCGGTAAAGTCACGTAGAAGGGAAGTAATAAATTAATAAAAATAAAACATAATAAAACAATTCTCACGACGTTTCGGCCACAACGCAAGCAGCCGTCCTCAGGTGAAAACCAGGTCTGTCGAGACGACAGCGTCTGAATGAAACAGCACACGTGCTTGGAGCATATATATAAGCTGGGTTGGAAGGGGGGAAAAGGGCGCCTTGACAAAAGAATATGCATATGAAGAGGCATTTAGCATATTTATGGGAAATGCAGGTATGTGATTACTACTACTCATGCCCGTGCATTATGCAGAATTAGCAGTATCAAAGGGAAGGGATATGGGAAATGCAGGTATATGATTAGTACTACTTATGCCCGTGCATTATGCAGGATTAGCAACATCAAAGGGAGGGGATATGGGAAATGCAGGTATTTGAATAGTACTACTTATGCCCGTGCATTATGCAGGATTAGCAGCATCAAAGGGAGGGGATAGGGGTAGTATTAATAAAGGGAAGGAGTGTTAATAGTATGTAGCTGCAGTAACTAAAACCACCACGTAAACAACTAAAGTATAAACTACATCGGGACTTCGCGTGCGGTTCGTTCGTCTTGTTTCCATCTTCTGACGCCAATGTAGTGTTGTACAGACGGACTCTTCGACGTCTTTGTAGCACACACTTTTATTCGTCTTGTGAACACAGTCCCTATGCACTGAGGGGTATACGGACCCCTCACCCGTTACACTCAGAACGTACAAGCCCCCACGCCCTACAGGCTACTTCATACCCCGCTCCTTCAGTGTCCTCTGACTGGACCTAGGGAGATGTCTCCCCGACCACTGGTTACTCTGAACCCTAGCCCTTATAAGGGCTGGAGGGCTTGGTCCAGGGTCCTAGGCTTCTTCCGCCGTCTTGGGTCTTCGTGTCGTCGAACTCCCCGAGAGCTCTGAGCGCTCTAGCTTTATACTTGTTCGTGGCCGGGTTGTCCAATCCCCGGCCACCTTGTGGAACCCTGTGATTGGTAGTTCCCAATCTGCTTTTCGATCCCAATTCACCCTATCTGACCCTGACCGTTTGGTCGCGCGGGAAAACCTTGTTTACGGTCAGCTCTCACAGCTTGTGAGACTCTGACCGTTAGTTTGAGCGGGAAAACCTTGTTAACGATTTGCTCTCACAGTTTGTGAACATCGAGTGGGTAACTCTACTACACACACATCTCGGGAGGGATTTTGTCCCACTCCTCTTTGCAGATCTTCTCCAAGTCATTAAGGTTTTGAGGCTGACGTTTGGCAACTCGAACCTTCAGCTCCCTCCATAGATTTTCTATGGGATTAAGGTCTGGAGACTGGCTAGGCCGTGTGTTTTGGGTCATTCTCATGCTGGAATACCCACCCACGACCCATTTTCAATGCCCTGGCTGAGGGAAGGAGGTTCTCGCCCAAGATTTGACGATACATGGCCCCGTCCATCGTCCCTTTGATGCAGTGAAGTTGTCCTGTACCCTTAGCAGAAAAACACCCCCAAAGCATAATGTTTCCACCTCCATGTTTGACGGTGGGGACGGTGTTCTTGGGGTCATAGGCAGCATTCCTCCTCCTCCAAACACGGCGAGTTTAGTTGATGCCAAAGAGCTCCATTTTGGTCTCATCTGACCACAACACTTTCACCCAGTTGTCCTCTGAATCATTCAGATGTTCATTGGCAAACTTCAGACGGGCATGTATATGTGCTTTCTTGAGCAGGGGGACCTTGCGGGTGCTGCAGGATTTCAGTCCTTCACGGCGTAGTGTGTTACCAACTGTTTTCTTGGTGACTATGGTCCCAGCTGCCTTCAAGTTCAAGTTCATTTATTAGGTATAGCCCTGTGAGCCATTCGGCTCTTGAATCGGGTGAAACCGCAACAAACAAAAAACAAAAACATGAACAAAAAACATCTTAAAGTGAATATGTGACTGAGTACAAACAGAAAATCCAAGAAAAGACAGCAAAATATTGCAGAAAAAACACCGTACACCAACGCTGTGTGCAAAAATCCCAGTGGGATGCAAGTCAAACAACCAACAACAACCACAAGACAACTTAGATTAAGGCCATCAGTCTAACTGTACTACAACAAACAAACATGGCTAAACCAATACACTTTTCGAAATCACCAAAATAAAGCCATGAAAGCAATGAAACAGTGATCATAGTGTAGTGACATGGGAGGGGAGGAGCTGCTGGGGGGCTCTAGGACCCTGGGCGGCCCAGGCGCTTGGAGCTCCCTGGACGATCAGGGCCAGTTGTAGCTCAAGACCCAAGACCCAAGACCAGCCATGTGGGGACCCTGGGACGCTGTGAGGGCCAGTGGTGGGACTCTGGAACTCCTGGCTCTACGTCCTTGTGAGGGCGAGTTCCAGAGCGTAGCCAGAGTAGTGTATCTAGGCTGTGTACCTAGGCTGTGTACCTAGGCTGTGTACTTAGGCTGTGTACCTAGGCTGTGTACCTAAGCTGTGTACCTATGCTGTGCACCTAGGCTGTAACAGAGTATCAAGACTGTTGGAGTGCTGTTGGATTGTAATAAAGAAGTTACCTCTACAAGTGTCTCCGGAACCCGTTACATTTGGAGTCAGAAGTGGTCATGGAGACAAGAAGTAAGCCTTCAGTCCTGAAGGCGATGTCGAGGAGCAAGCAGCGATGGGGCGGCCAACGCTGGCCGACAACGACGCCGCACCGCCGGCCGACAGCGACGCCGCACCGCTGGCCAACAACAACGCCGCACTGCCGGCCGACAATGATGCCGCACCGCCGGCCGACAGCGACGCTGCACCGCCGGCCGACAACAACGCCGCACCGCCGGCCAACAGCGACGCTGCACCGCCGGCCGACAACGACGCCGCACCGCCGGCTGAG